CACATATGTGCATACAAAGGGCGAGTGTTGCAAGGCTTTTAAGCTGGCAGCAGCTGCTGCCTCTGCCGCTGCCGCTGCTGATTGATTGTTGTCCTCAAGGTCGGCAAACGGACGGACGGATGGACACACACAAAAGATATGCAAATCCAGTTGACAGCTTTTGTTGTGCCACTATGGCAGCCCCTAAAGAGCAGAGAGCACTCTAACCTTTGTCCCTCCCCTTCCCACCCTCGCCCCCTCGCCCGCTCGCCCACTTTCAACTATGAACTATGCCAATCGTCCATAAAGTTGCTCGAATTATGGCACAAAGCAATTGCCATGCATATTTATTTGATCATAAAGTACAGCAGCAACAACTACAGTGGGCAGCAGCAACAATTAGACAGACACATTCCACAGCCAAAAACTAGTCGACCTGTAGCCCACCAAAGGGGCAGCAGGGGAGGAGGGGCTCGTGGCGGGGCATTCTGCTGGCAACTAAATAAATTTCACAATTGTTTATTTTTTCCCAAACAAATCAGGCGCACATTAAAAACATCGAATGCCCCCACGAAATATGCCCCAAATAACATTAACATCCGGTGCGGGGCTCCACCGGCAACAAATTTCAATTGTTTCTACAGATTTTTGTGCTTCTTGTTTCGTGGCTTTCCTAGAAGCAGGTGCCATAAAAGTTCGCTCAAGTATTTACAAAGGTCACGCGGCATTTTTACTTTGAGCACATATACAGTAAGGCAGATAAATCTTTAAAAGATGTTAAGTATATATATTGTTTTTTTTTCTTCTATTTTGTATGTTGCTATTAAAAATGTAATCGATTACCAATGAAGTATTATTTATTGTGCAGTTTTATGAGTTCAACTTGTTGAGAGACTGGAGATTTATATGAGCTGGAGACAAGGCAGTGTAGGAGTATTTTAGAGATCAATTAGGAAACGCTTCAGGGTATTTGAATACAGTGCATTAAATACAAAATGACATCGAAATTGGTAAGGTATCATATACTATATAATCTCCATGTGCATAAACTATATTAACTAATTTAAAGTGAGCGTCTTCACTTATTTGAGTGCTTAACAGCTGCAACTATAGAATTCTCAACTGGTTATTGCTTAGCAAGAGTCAAAAGGAGTCAATGGACCTATAAAGCAAAGTCTGCCGATAGTAGAGAACCGAGAGGTTCTCGAAATGCTTTTTACTATTATTATTTATATGATTTAGACTATTTAAGAATTGATTTTTTATAAACTTGTCAACATTTACTTATATTTAAATAAATTATTCCTTATCTATATAAGCATATTTGTTTAGTATTTTAATGAATATCTTTTTATTAGACTATTACTACTAATAGATTGTAGACTTCTTTAGCAACATTCCCTCAATCTATGCCCTGTATGCAGTTTTCAATTGTGGTAAAAACCGAAAGTGCATTTGATATCATTGAGGGTTTCCTTCCACGATAAACAGAACAATAAACCAAAGGAAGCGAAAAAAGCGAGTTTTGTTCATATTTTGTATTATACAACAACTTCTTATCGCTCTGAGTCGAGCAACATAATAATGGTAATGTAACAAAACTGAAATTTTGCTTTACAAAATGGTTCTCTACTTTCATACGTGTCGTATACACATTGCGATATGCCCTAAGCCCCCTCTCAGGGCCCCTCCCCTATATACAGCAATAAATTTCAACCGCAGAAACCGAAACGGAACATTCAGAGCTCAACCCAGAAATAGTTGCAAATTAACTCATGTTAAACAAAATGCGATTTACATAGCAAAACATTCGCAATTCGGAATTCGCACGATAAATTCGCTTATAATGTAGTCGAAAATGTCCCCCTGCAAGTGGAGCAGCCATAACAGTACTTACACCTACAATAAAAGTCACAATTGCCCAAAAATGAAGAAAAATGAATATTCTACGTGTTTCCGCAAAAAAAAACAAACGCAAAAAAATTCACATTTAAAGATAGCCCCAAAGAGGCGAATGAAATGGCTAAGCTCAAGGGGAAGGCGAATAAGGTAGTCGAGAGAAGGGGTACAAAATGCAATTCGAATCAAATTATAACAATATTTTTATAAGACAAATAAATATATATATATAGATATATATATAGACCCTATGATTTATTTTTAAAACATGCCCCAGCAACAAAACGAAGCAGCAAAGGATGAGAATCAAACACGAGCAAATAACGAGATGAAAAACGATAAACAAGCAAGAAAAGTTCAATAAAGTACAAGTCGAATTGTGAATACACTTTCTGGAAGCTAGTAAAAGTGAGTGAATAATCAAATGGAAAACTATGTACTAAGCAATCCGCAATATATCAAATATAGAAAATTAAATATATATTTATATGTAAGCGAATGTCTGTTCAAAAAGTGTCGCAAATTTTGATTTATGGAACAAAGAATCTGCATCAAAATGTTAGCCAAAAACAATACATTTATGATGCCACAGCTGCCGTACATGAAAAGGCCAGACCCCGGGGACTTCTTTTAAAGAGACCCACATAAAGACGTAGTCAGCAGCTGAACAAGATAAAAAAAATATTCTTTAATAAATGAAAAGTTGTTGAAAAAACCACAAATTTGAAATACTATTTAAAAAGACTTCGAAGAAAATTTTATATTAAATTTTCCGTAATTTTTTTTTTATTAAATTGTTTTCAAAAATTCATATATAAAAAGAATTTTAATAATTTTTCTATTAGCTTGATAATTTAAATATGTATATAAATAAAAAATGTTACCCTTTTTTAACTTAATTTCAAAGAAAAGATGTAGTCATTCCGTTTTAATAAACATTTAAAAAATTTCAAAATGTCCATAAAAATATTATAAATATTTGGAAAAAATGCATATTTCTAAAGCTAAAATAGTTTTACAAATCAAGTTTTATTTTTATCGATCTAATGGCATTTTCGAAATATTGCTACGAATATATTAAAAACTTTAATGGCGTAGTAAAAATGATCAAAGTCTTGTTTTTGGAATATTATTAAGATGCTTTAAATTCAATACTGAAATACTATATAGTATAGTACTTTGATTTGAGCCCATAATCCAGTCTAACGACTTATAAAAATATCCCGAAAGCTAAACGATCTAAAAACATATTTATCGAACTAACGGTTAGTTTATTTGTTACACCTTCGCCTACGTAAACACGTAAACCCTCTCTAAATGCTAAAAAAACATCAACTAAAATATATGCCAAAACGCGCCGCCAGATGGCGTGTATGTGCGGGAAGCAAGCATCGCGAAGAAGGGAATTTCCTGCGTTAAAACGTTTAATTTATTAATGAGATTTATTAATAGGTTCACAGCCAGGTGAAAGCTCAAAAGGTCGCTAGAACGCTGTCGGAGGTGGGGACAGGTGCAAGTCAAGGTGTAGTTGTATAGATAAAGAGTAGCAGCAGCAGCTAGCCGTCAGTTGAGGCAAGTGGTTCAGTTGTTTGGTTATTGTAATTAAACGGAACATTATGATCCCTTTTTATACGCTTAAAATATGTGCGTGTGGTGCCACCCAACCACCACGCGACCAAACCACTCGCTCACCTCACTTGGAATGTTGTTTGGCATGCCAGGTGGGCGGTTGGTTGCGTGGTTGGGGCAGTGGCCGACCCCCAAAAATTATTTGCTTGTTTTTGTTTGGTCTGTGTCGACGTTGCTGCAATGGCCCATGGAGCACCTAAAGTGGTCGGGTGGGTGTTCGGCTGCCTGCTTGAGTGGAGCGAAACAGACGCCAGCGTCGCAGACGCATAAAACAAACGTGAGGCAAGATAATGAGCGTTTCGCTATCCGACTCCACGACGAGGCATATGGCACATTAGCAGAGATATTCGAGCAAGCGCGTCGCATGGACAATTACGTTGCCACCTGATGCTGCTTAAATGATCCATCGCACTTTGCACCTGCCTCAATTGACGGCACTCTAGAAGATCACAAAATAGAATCTTTAAGTGACGTGAAAAGTAATTTCATGTTCAATTTCTTAATTTTTTTTAAAGAAAATGATTTGTTATAATAATAAATATGTATTAATATATAATAAATTAAATTAAGATTGCATTCAGTCTGAGTTAACATTGATTGGAATTTGACCTCGCATTATGATTGCTTTTCAACGTAATGATTCTAGCGATTCTAATTGGATTCAATTAGCAATTGTTTCCTTTCGGATAAGAATCGAATGAACAACTTTGACATAATCGTAAATGCAATTCATCTTATTATCTAGCTCTAAAATTCGTTCACCTCGAATGCTTATTGCATACATATATACATGCATATGTGTGTTCATATACATACATAACATACATACATACATAAACATACTGGACCCCTATATGCCTTGGCAACCCCTCGAAGCACCTTTCGTTGATAAGACTCGACTTAATCGCTAGCTTATGAAGCTGGCGGCTGATTAGTCGAGTGCACGTAACGCCTTAGCCCTGCCACGCCCCCTAGAAAGCAGCGTCTGCTTGCTCGAGTGTAAAGGATGCCCACCCACCCCCATTAGAAGCGCCTTCTCAATATACTTTACGTTTATTGTCATTTTATTGCTGTTGTTATCCCAGAGACAACAAAAACAACAGAGAGAGCGAGAGAGAGAAGAGGCAGCTACATAAACAGTAGCAATAGCAGCAGCCGTAGCAGCTGAGGCGCCGGCAACGATTACACCATGTGAAGTTGCACTACCTGCCTCTCTTTCTTACGCACAGTCGCAGCTCGGCTCAGCTGGCGATCAGTCTTGCCATATGAGAGAGACTTTTGGTCTCTCTCCACCTATTCTCTGTGCCTTGTTGTAGCTGCTGCTGCCAGCTTTTGTTATTTCATAATTTATTTGCGTTCTACTTTTTTTGATTCATTTGCTTAAGCATACACGTAAAAATGTTCAGACGCACTCACACATACATACAAAGTCGCATTCACTCACAATTATTTGCTTATTTGTCACTTTAATAAAATAAAATACAACTAATTACCTTTTGGTGGCTCAGCCGTTGAGTGAGAGGGCGGACAGAGACAGAGCACAACTGAGAGCGAATGAGGGTTAGCCAAAGCTTTGCTATTTAGTTTTTGTTGTGGTCGCAACTGCGGCTGCTGCTGCTGCAACCCTCCTCGGTTGAGGCTGCCGGCTGCTGCTGAGAGCGATATACACACAGCTATTGAGCGAAAGAGAGTAGCAGAGAGACCGTGCGAGAGCAGCAACACAGCGCTGCGCTCTGTTATGAAGTAATAACGACGAAAAAATTACCACACTCAACCGCGCGCGCACATACACACGCACACGTACAACTCTTTGGATATGTTAATATTGTTGTTGTTATTATTTTAATGAGAATCGTTTTTATGTTTTACGTGCACAGCAGCCGACGACGGCGCCGCCAAAAAGAAACAAAAGCAAATTGCAAAATGCAAAAACAAGTCACTTAAGAGATTTTTCGCACTATTTCTTCATGTCGAAGACACGCGCGATTTACATTGATTTGATTTGAAATTGGAGAACGGTGTTTTATTCAATGATACTCTAAATTTTTTTCTATGTATTCAACGCACCTTCTCAGTACCGCGGCATAAACGCCTTCATAAAAACAATAACAATTCTCAAATTCAAGCAACTGAAACCTCCACGCGACGACGACGACGGCGACGAAACGTCCGTCCACATCAAATGTTTCTCGCGTTTTGAGAGTTTGAAAAAACACCTAAGGCATTATAAGCTGCGAGAGAAACAATATGACTATGACAACAGGAAATACTCTGTAAAGCATTACAGCTGTTTTAATAATGACAATGTATTAGATTCACAAAACCGAAAATCTGGTTAGTTGAATATTATTAAGTTATTTCTTACTAAATTTATATATATTATTTCCTTTGTTGTAAATAAATAATTTTTTTAATTTTGTTATAGATTTTTTTACTATAATAAAGTATATAGAAAGTATAAATAAGTTATGTAATATGCTTTTTTAAATTTTTTGTTAAATAAAATTTTCTTCAACTACGTATAACAAGCAAACAACACTTTCTAATTCGCATTCGCAGGGTACAATACGCAAATGTGTGTGACAGAGAGAGCATGCGCAGAGCGCAACAGCTGCTCGGAGAGCAACATTCCACTACAGCGCGCTAACAGAACGTTAAGATCAGTTGCAAATATGCCATTTGAATTAAATAATATTAAATATCAAAAATAGCAAATTAATAACACCGTTTCGAAACAATAATCCAAGGCAAACTGTTGCCTATAGAAAACAAAACAAAACTGAATAATTAAACAGTTCAGTTCAGTGTGACTGTACGTGATAAAGCGCGAAACGACAAAAAGCTTACTGGGCTGGTCACCCTGTTGCTGCTAAGAGAAAGCTTCAAGAGTGCTGGTTAACGTTTGAAATAAAGGCGCGTGATTTCAAAAATGATTTTTAGCTGAAATAAATACAAAAACTAATTTATAGTCCTAAGCTATTGTTTTTAATAAATAAAAAGAGCATGATATATTTTTATGTATGTATTCCATATATTTTGCATATATATAATAATATATGTATATTTTTGTTGGTTGTTCTTTGTTTTTTTTTGTTTTTGTAATTTTACACAATTAAAATGAAGTTTTGTCAACAAAAAACAATTTGTGGTACTTATGGTAGAATTCATATATATATATTTATATATATATATATATATATATATATATGTAAACTCGATAAGAACTCTTTGATTTGATGTATATATGCTATATATGTATGTGTGAGTGTGTGTTTGTGTTCTCTAGCCATATATAGATAGATAATATATATATTGATATATATATTTATTTGAAAAATCTTGCACATTTTGCTCTGGGCTAAATCGTTTATCGATAAATGTTTATCATTTTTTATACTTTTATTAAATAGTCATTAAATTGCATAGTTAATTACGTTAGATCGATAGCTATATCGATGAATCGTTAAATCGAGAATTATGTAAATAATATATATACAAGGGCAAACAACAGCGGATTTTCGATAATAATAATTTCGATAACATTCTCCTTGCCTTCTGCTGAGTCGTCTTTAGATTAGTTTAAGCTCGGCCGTTGCTTATCCAGAACTTAATTAAATTAAATTGTAATTAGAAATTATTTAAAGCAACTTAAACTTAGGAGTTAAGAGTTTTTTCTTTTCTTCTTCTTTTCTAGTAATAATATTTATCGATTGCAGCTAAAAACAAAAACTAACGAGAGTTTTTCTTCTTCTGTAACTTTAAAACACATACATAATAGATACATATATCTATATATATATATATATATATATATATATATATATATATATATATATATATATATATATATATATATATATATATATATATATATATATATATATATAATATATATTCGAATAAATATATATGTTAATTTAATTAGCTTTCGATTTTGTTTTTCTTCTCCTTTCTTTGAATTGGTTATTAATTGCTGCTGAGGTCTACGTGATGAATGGAAACAAGAGGAGTCAACAGGGTTGTCATGCTGCAGTGGCAATTAACAGGGTTGCGCTACGCTTCTACTAAATAGATGACGAATTCGAAATCGAATTCGAATTCGAATGCGTTTCTATGTAAGCTTTTCTAACTGCGATAAACGTCAATCGATAGCTTTCGCTCTCTCTTCCTCTGTTATACTCCCTCCCTCTCTCTTTCTACTTATACCTAAGGCTTAGTTTTTGCATCTGTGGGAAATTTGTTGGTTTTTAGGGTTTTAAACATTGCGTTAAATATGCTTAAAGACTTATGAACTATATATTTGGTGTAACTTTTTGAGTTCTGTGTGTGTTTCCTTCCATGTTGATTCGTTTTCTGTTTGTTTGTAACTGTTATACATATACGTATAGATATATATGTATATATATATATATTTGTAGACTAAACTGTAATAATATATATGCCGCCACTTCAGCTTCATTCCTCTTCGAGTTCCAACAGCTATGCAAACTAAATATAATACAGTTTTGCGAGAACTGGCCTCAGAAATAAAAACAAATAACGACGCATCCAAAGTGTTATACACGGCACAGTGGTTCCTCCTCTCTCCTCCCTTCTCTCTACGATCCCTGGCTCCCTCTCCCCTGCTTTGTGCATGGCGTTAGACGCTTTAGATGGGCGAAATGGAGAGCGGCGCTGCAGCCGTGTCTGGCATATATTCCTTGAGCAGATCGCGCAGACGCAAAATCTCACGTCCGGCTGCCGCCAGATCCCCCTGCAGCGATAGCTCTCTTTCCCGCAAACGTTTGATGTCCCTTTGGCAGGTCTGAATAAGAGAATAACAAAATTAGTTTAGTGTTCTTTGGGATCTCTCTCTCTCTCTCTCTCTACTTACCACATTCTGTCGCAGCAAGTCGAGCTTGTCGCACTTGAGTCGCGTCACCTCCTGGCGCAGATTCTCAATCATCATGATGGTCTCGTTGCTGGGCGAGCTGCCCATCATGGTGGTGCCCTGCACCCCCTCGAGACACAGCGAGCAGGCTTTGGTTGTTGCCTCAGCGGAGCTCATGCTCTCCAAGCCCGTGTCGCTGTCTATGTAGGCGGCGCCGCCGTCTAGGTGACCCATCATCGGATCTAGATCAACGCTGTTCAAGCTCGAATCGTCGCTCGCCTCGGACATGGTGGCCACGGCCACGCCCACTATGCCACCATTATGGGCAGCGCTGACTGCGACGGCGGCAATGCCGCCGCCCACGCCGCCATTTTGTTGGCCTCCGGCTGTGTTGTTGTTGTTGTTATTGTTGTTATGGTTAGCCGGGCGCGAGGTAATGTCCGGCGAGGATGATGTAGACTCATTCGAGGATTTCGACTTGGACGACGACTTGGAGGCCGTGCGACTGCAGGTCTGCAAATAGAGAGAGAGGGAGAGAGTTGGATTAGCTTAGAGTTCCACTAGGTCAAAGGCGATTTTTACTCACATTTAGATTGGGCGTTTGTGTCTCGGGCTGTGGCTCCTTCTTGGAGTTGAGCGTGCCCACCTTGGTATTCACGCTGAACTTGTCCGGATGCGCGCCATTGCCAGTGTCCACGCTCTGCGAGCGCACGCGCATGATGAGCGCCTTCTTGACGGTGTCAATGAAACGAGTGCCTGCATTGCCGCCACCGCCGCCGCCGCCGCTCTCGGACTTGGGTGTCTCGGGCGTGGGACTGCCGGTCAGGGTCTGCGATAGATCGGCGCCTAGGAAGTCGCGCGTCTTCTCCTTCAGCTCCTCGACCAGATTCTGCAGCAGCGAGGTGCGTGTGCGCAGCTCGAGCTTGGCAAACTTCTCGGCCTTGTAGCAGGCGTTCTCGGCGTTGATCAGTTTGGTCAGTAGAAACTCCTTGAACTCCTGGCCCTTGCGAAAGACCGCCGGATTGGGCAGCGTGGGTCCAAAGAAGGGCACATCATCGCGTGCCGTCACGCTCACCTTGTACCGTGTGTGGGGCGTGTTCGGCTCGAGCGGCTGCACCACAATGAACGCGTGCAGAAAGTGACTGGCGATCATGTCCGGGGAGAAGGGTGTGTTCGTCTCCTGGAACACTATGGCCACGATGTCGTTGCCAATGTGCCGCTTGCGCTGCAACTGCTGCGGATCGCCCTCGGTGTGGGGCAACAGTGTGGACACATGGAACATAATCTCGCGCTCCTTAAACACCTCATAGACAGCCGTGTCGCCGGTGTGACCATTCTGTATATCCAAGCCGCCGCGATAGCCCTTGTGATCCTTGAGCCTAATGCGCTGGCCGAGCACATCGAGGAATTCCTCGAAGGCCGGCGATGTCTGCTGATTGCCGAAGAGTTCCTCCTCGGTGGTCTGGCCATATCTTTGGTAGAGCACGCCGAACTTGAAGTGCGTGACGAGCACATGCTCATCGTAGACGCTGATCAGCTGCGACGCCTTCGGGCACAGCACAGGCATAAAGTTGTCCACCTGTATCTGTTCGTTCAACAGTCGCACCATCTTCGCCGGACTGGGCTGGGCGCCCAGGCACGACACCGGTATCAACTCGTGCATGGTGCCCGTGCGCAGGCGCAGAAGTATGCGCATGTGTTCCTGATTGGCCACATTCTCGGTCTTGATGGAGATGAGCACTGGGCCCAGCTGCTCGTCGTGGCCAACCAGATTGGAGTGCTCCCTGGCCGCATAGAAGCGCCTGTAGCACTTGGCCGTGTCATCCATCTCGAACTTGGCCATCCAGGTGGTTTGGGGCAGCTGCGGATTGCCGCGTGCATCGTAGCTGCACTCGTGCTCAGTGCCGTCCAGCCAATAGCCGCCGTGCAGCGGTAGCAGTATCATTGGATAGGGCGCCGACTTGGCTAGCGCATCCTCGAGCAGGCGCTGCGAGGCGGGTATGGCCGACACAATCGAGGAGTTCGATGATACCGATGATTGCGACTGATAATGATGTCCGTTCGATAGCAGCTGGCCGCCGCTCAGCTGCGGCGATGCTGGCGTTGAGCTGGAGGCGGAGCCGCCAGTCATTGAGCTGCTGGAGTGATTCATTGAATGACGCAACGTGGCCCGAGAGCCCGAATGCTGTAGTCCTCCGCTCATGTGGCCGCCATCGTGTGGTGAATGCGGCTGTGGCACGCGCTCCTCGCTTGCATTGCTGCCGCGATGATGCTGCAAAGATAGACATAGAGAGTGGGTTTAGTTTGGTTAGTTTGGATCAAGCTCTATAATTATAGGGTATCAACAGCATCTGTATGTGTGGGCATCGGCTGCGACTCCTACGAGCGACAGGGTACACATGGGCTGCATTATAATTTCATGCAATTATCGTCGACGTCTATGCAAATGCCCCCAGCCTGAAGCTGGTTAATGGCAGGGCCCAGGCCAGACCCGACCATGTGCCGTGCCTGGCAATTTGTTGGCTCTAAACAAATACGAGAGACGCGCACTCGTATGTGGGCGGCTGTTGTGTGCTTTGGGTTTACAGTTCAGCGAGTGAAACCCGTTAAATTTCGGATAATATTAAGCCAACATTTTGATTTGACAGGAACATCCTTTCAAACGGCGCCAGCTTTGCGCTTTGCGCTTTGTGCGCTTTGTCTAGCCAAAGCCAAACCCTGAAATCCCCCTAGCCCTAGCCCCCTAGTCCCATCTCATATCCCTCTTATAGGTTGCGCTCGCATATTAAAAACTTCTTTTATTTCCGTCTGTTTGGCCAGCTGCAATTTCTTTCTATGGCTGGCGTGCAGCCAAATGTGGCACGTAACGGGGTAGGGCAGGCCGATACAGAGTGTGTGTACGGAGGTTAGGTCTTTTCGGGTTCATCGATAGTTCGTGCCTTGATTTAGGAGTCTGCTGGCTGCCAAATGCAACTGCTACGGCTGTGCCATAACGTGCTCACAGATTGCGCGATTGACCGAGTCATTAGGGCTAAATGAATTGAGAATGGCTGCAGTTGCGTACTCTTGAGGGGGTAAGGGCTGGAGTTATAAGAAAAGTTTTCCTTAACCAAGCCAGGCTGGAGCATATGAAATTGGTATACGTTAATATAGTTATCTAACTGTCAAGTCTGAAGTGTGCATGTGAATTGAGTGAGTGAGTGAGGGTGGTGCTAGGATGCTAGGATGCCAGGGTATAAGTTTATTAGCACAGTAGAGGTCTAGAAGGTCTCTCTTTAGCCAAGACTTAAAAGTTTGAAAAACTATAGCCAAAGAAACATATAAAAGACAGGGATTAATCAGCTCAGGAGGCATAGTCGATGATAGATCGTAAGGAAGTTCTTGGTAGCTGAGTTAGCTATTAGGATATATTAAGTGCTCAGACGTTAGGGCAGGATATAAATGTTTTAGGATGTCTCTTTAGCTAAGACTTAAAAGCTAGAAGAACGATAAAGAAAATAGTGAAAATAGCGCAGGAGAAATAGGCGATGATAGATTGGAAGGAAGTCCTTAGGAGCTGGCTTAGTCACTAGGATAATTGTTGCTCCTTTACACGAAAGTATTGAATAGATTGATTGCGCTCATCATTATCGTATATCACACACTATCCAGACTTTACTCTTTCTTCTTTCATACATTCCAAGTCTTTCAAATATCTTTCCATACTCAGCCAACATCCAAATCCACTTAGTAAAAGTGAAGAAAGCCATAGGAAAACAGGCGCTTTATAAAGCAATAAACTTCAGAAAACGTCATATTTATTGATAGCAAAGGAGAATAACATTTGATATCAATAGACAGAATGAAGCCAACACAAATTTATTAGTTCAGAGCTCTTACACAGTCAGATGCGGTGAGTAGGGCAGCAGCAAGAGATTGTGGGACTGTGAGATTGGGAGATTGTAGTTTTATTGCCAGACCCTGAATGCGTTCGCTCAATTCGAGGTCAAAGCGTCGATTTGGTGCACATTTCCACACGACATTTTATGCAATGTTTATTTTTTAAGTGCAATTTAAATGCAGTTTACAGCATTTACTGCATTTGCGTACCACTAATGAGTGCATTGTCATCTCGAATTGTGTTGAATGTGAAATGATTGAATGTATTCAGCCACATTTTGGAGCAGCGTGTGAATTGATTATGCAAATGCTGCACGACTTTCAACATTTAATGCGGCAATAGAGGAAAAGTTAATATATAAAACAAATATATATATATAGATATTTATTGTGGTAACTTGAGAGGAGGTTGGGGTCTGGCCAGACCGGCTAAAGGGAGGGTTTGCGTTCGAACTTCCTTTGTCACACGCTTAGTTGGCTTCATTGGCTAAACAGTTGCGACAATCAGACGCTGTCTGGACTTATTGGTTAGCTATTTGGGGCGGGATGAGTCATCAAACTTAATTTCCCAGACTAACAGGAGTGCCACTAGTGGGAAGGGCAGTAATTGGTTCCGGGGAAGACTGTATCAAGTTACGTTGTGGACTCTAATTTGATGAGATTTGAAGATGTTGAAGTTTGTCTGCTTTTTGTCTAATTAAACCAGCAACAAGAAGAGTGTGAGTGCGTCCAATTGAAAGTGGAGGGGTCTACAGATGAGCAGATATGAGGAAGAAGCTGCCACTCAAGTATTAAGTACACAACCGGAAAAACTAAAATCTAATGAATGTGCCAGAAGAGGCATAAGCGGAGGGAAAGCATAACAAAAGCACGAACTAATACCAAACACAACACTCGTGTGTGTTCGACAATTATGATGATCGCGCATTGCTCATTATGATGTTGTGCCGATTCTAGAGAACTTAAGCGGATTACAGACAGAGAGAGGTTGAGAGAGACGGCGAGAGAAAAGTGTTACAAACGCAAAACCATGAAGCAAACTTTGGGGCCAAATGCTGAAACTTTCGAGGTTAGTGGGGTAGAGGCTGCAGCAGCGATGCTGTATGCTTGCGGCGGCAGGGGCCATCAGACAAGGCACAACCCCTTGAGCAGAGCGGCGAGTGCATTGAACAGGCCATAAAAACAAAGTGCGGAGACGTTTTGCATAAGTCGAAGGGCAGGCAGACCCTGACTGATGGGCCCCAATCCCTGCGCCCAACCTCTGAGCACATCCTGCGCGAGACGCCAACGTCAACAACGTTGTTTGTGTTGCTGTTGTCGTTGTTATTGTTGCTGCTGCTGCTTCAAGTGCAGGGCCCCCATCATTAAAAATGTGCATTTTGCATTTGCTGCTGCTGCTGCTGCTGCGGCGGGGGCGTTGAAATCTTTTGCCAGGCATACAAAATGAAAACAAAGTCTAATAGCAGAAGCAGAAGCAGGCAAAGAGTCGGTGCTAAGGCAGCCATGGAGTGCATGGAAAACAAAGCACAGGAAGCCATCTGTGCACAGTTTGACAGCCAGCGCTTGTCAAACTCACTTTTGGCTTTCATCACTTATGCAGCGCACATTTTGTTGCTGGTGGAAAGTGTGGCACATGATTCTAGCGAAGCGTAAGAAGAGTTGCAAGCCAGTTCAAGTGATTGATATATGCAAGCGATATAGGTACATATATATATATATATATATATATATATATATATATATATAAGTGTGTATATATATATATATGCGCCACGCACGTGCAAACTGCCAGACGACGCCCTAGACTCAACTTCTTGTGGCGACAAAGCTAAGCCAAAAAAAAGAGAGAAATAATTCCACCCACACATGAATTGGACTTGATTTATGTGCTGGGAGCCTGTGACATAAACACGTTGCAATCGAGTGATTCTTGCCTGCTGCTGCTGCTGCTGCTGCTGCTGTTGTTGTTGTTCTCTGCACTGAGCCATGAAATGATAAATATTATATACGATATATGCATAACTCTTATATAAAGACATACGCCACCGCAGGCCTATTTCATTTTAAAATGTATTCCACACAAATATATCAAATCAAAGTTACATAAATCAACGCGCAGCCAAATAAATCAATGGGTGCTTGTCAAACTGTCACTGCAGCTCAAACTAAGCTGATTAGTTGAGTTTTTATGTGTAGTTAGATCTAGCTAAGTATTCTCCAACTTAAATCTATAAAATTTTATTATGACTCAAGTTAAAGTTCAATTTCTTTATAGATGTTTGCTTATGTATGTTCTCTATATGCACTTTTTATTAGATACTCTAATATTAATTATATATAGACTTATAAAGACTTTTTATAGATTTTTTATGGTGCAGACTTTATGAGCGTCTTATCTATGACGACTTGAACTGTGCATTCATAATGAATCACTTAGTAAATCCATTGGTTAGCAAGTCAAACAGTTGGTCAATCAGATAGTAAATGAGTTAGTCAAAAGTCAGTTCATCAAACAGTCAGTTAATCCATCTGTCAAGCAGATAGTCAGTTAGTCAGGCAGTCCGATATAGGTAGATATAGAGTTAGGCTATGAAGCAGTTAGGCTAGAGTCAGTCAATCAAAGAGTGAGTCTGTCTTAGAGTCAGTCAATCAAAAAGTCAGCTAGTCAATCAGTTGTTAATCGCTCAGACAGTCAATCATTTAAGCCGAAAAGGCAGTCAATCAATTAGTAGTCAAACAGTCAATCAACTTATCAGTGTCAATTTTTTGAGTCAATCAATCAATGAAGAACTAGTCAGTCAATTAGTCAATCCAACAGTCAGTTCCCTCTAACAGTCAATCAGATAGTCAGGCAAGTAGTCAATCAGCGTTAGTCTATCAGTCAAGTAGTCAGTCGCTCAAGCAATTAATTAATTAATTAGTCAATTCATAAGCTAATAATAAAGTCACATAGTCCATCAAGTCAGTCAATCATTCACTTGGTCGGCTTTAGTTCAATCGTCAATCATTCAGTCTATATTTATGAAATCCATGTTCATATAAAGACTTCTCAAAATTGTTTGGGATACAGCGTAGTCTAAGCTTTTGCTTTCCTATTTAGCCCTATTTTAGGCATTTCTCTCTTTAACCTATTTTAGCTTTTATTCACTGGTGTTGGCAACAGTTTTTCAGAGATATTAAAAGTAGCTTTTACAGTTTATACCAAATGGTTTTTGTGTGCTTTGTTTTTGTATTTTTCGTAACGCTCGCTGCACGTGAGCTAAATGCCAAAATAGTTGCTTTTAAACGCTTTCACACATTCAATTAACACACACTGCATATATATAGGTATATGTATATGTGTGTGTGTGTGTGTGTTTGTGTGTGTATGCGTCTGTCTCACTGTGTGTAGTTGAGGCACGTATGTGCTTCTAAAGGGTTTTATGCTGCTCGAGTTCTTATCGCATTCTTCGTCATGCGCTTTGCTCATTAAGAGATTTGACATAAAAACTGACCCAAGTAATCAGCATTCGAATTCCTAGAATTATGCTCATAGAGTTGTATATATACACATATATATATATAAACCAGATGCAATCAGACGATAAATCAAATCAAATTTCAGCTAAAGTTCTTGACAGCATTAGCAGCTGCTGCTGTTGCTGCTTACAGTTTAAGCTGCTTTTGGCTATAGTTTTGCATGACAAATCAAATTGCAGTAAAGTTATCTCACTTTACAGTTTGAGCAGCTTAGGTAGCTATAGTTGGGGGCGAATTGAGTAGCATAAATTTCGGTTTTTATTAGCTTTGCCTAACATTTTAACAGACACCAAAGCCAAAACAACGAACCACTTAAGGCAACTTGTCGCATTTGTTGCTGTTGTTGCTTTTTGTGTTGTTTGGTGCGACAATTTCATTAGCCAAAAAAAGCGAAAGGCGCCAGCCATATTTGGAAAATCCGTAAGCAAACTGATTCAAAAACTTATGCAAGGTGCTTGATTGATTTTCAAAACGTTTTTAATTACTTAATAAACAATTTGTTAGCAGCGGATCTAAAAATAACTAGCTGCTTGTGGCATAAAATTAAAATTAAGAAAAATTGTTATTTAAATTTTTGTTTCTGCTTTTAATTGGCTGCAACAACGCATTGTTGCATGTGGCAACTTTGACCCAATTTGTGCGCAATGAACCCATCACAAAATTTGCATGATGAAGGAGTTGTTGCTGGCTCCGCACTCTCTTTCTCTCTCTCTCTCTGCCTCATCATGGTCGTCTTTGCGTGTATGTGCTGCATCAAATTAGTTGCAACAATTTGATTAAAACAACAACAAACTGGCAAAAGTACTCTCACGCCCACGGCTAGACTGGAAGTGGAACCCTCAGGCCAGACCAGGTTCACCTCATGTTGCACGTCATATTTGCTGCTCTTTCTCTTCTTCTTCTTCTTTAATTTTTTGTCATGGTTCTGTGAGCTGGGAAGCGACTGGCTCTCAAACTGTAAGCGAACACAGGCACAGTGGGCATCATAGGCTTCTACTAAACTTGGAGCTCAATATATTTACAAAATTATTTAAAAAAATTGTATGAAATTTAGTTACAAATAAAAATATTCAAAATATAAAAAATATAATTTAATAAATGCTAAAGAAAATATTTAAAATAAAATGAAAATATATATATAGATAAAATATAAAACTTAATTTTATAAAATTCTTCAAAAAAATTAAATTAAAAAATAAAATTAATTTTCTAAATTATAATTAATTGTTATGAAAAAGAAACTTTAAATAATTAAGTCCTCTGCCAAGCTTATATAACCACAACAAATATGTTTTGCACCACTGTGCACAGTCGCATTTCTTTTGTCTCATGTCTTTGTCTTGAGCTTTGGCCACTGCGCGTCAATCAGCGGACTCATTTGAATGGCCCTTGCGGCCCCTATCTGAGCCCTTTTTTGAGCTGCCTGCGCATGTGCATTGAAGCTGCGCCGTTTCCACTTGGCTGCACAAACTGAGGGCGCAGCGTTGCAGCAAGCTGCGGCATGCTGTGCCAAGAGCTGTGTGAGGTGGCAGCGTTTCAGCTTTAGCTTCAACTGCTTCTTCTTCTTCGTTTTTAGTTTTATGTAAGTTGCGCATTTAAATTACAAACAGCTGACAAAAGTTGAGCTCAGGCGCTTGCCCAACCTTTTGGCTAGAGATGGGCTTTGCCCCCTTTCATATTGTTGTGCGGCTTGCCCGCTGCGCTTCGTTTGCTTTTCTCATAAAATAATTGCGCGTGTGATGAAGTCGATCCAAGCTAAAGAAAGAGAGAGAGAGAGGGAGAGACAGAGCGAGAGGATGGCAGCAGTCAAAAGGGCGGCAACCGAAGCGAAGCCTTTTGGCTTTCAACTGGGAATTAAGAGGCGACGCTGTTGCTGTTGCTGTTGCTGTTGCTGCTGCTGCTGCTGCTGCTTTAGCTTGTCCCACGTTCTGCTGAGAATTTGGCAACGAAGCGTGAAACATGAACAACAACAACAAGCGCATAAACAACAACACGCCATTGCTTGTTGTTGTTAACGTCTTCCTAGAAGCCAACTTGTAGCCCAAAAGCAAAAAAATATCGCGCTGCTCTGAACTTGTAATCTGTTCCAGCAGCAGGAGCAGGCGCTTGGCTCAAGGGGGCCATGGCGGCTAAGGGGGGCACCTGACATTACCTGACATTTACTGAGAATTTGTAGCAAAGCGTTTCCTTTATAAGCATTTTTCCCCGTCTGTTGGCCAGCTGTCATAACTTTGGCAACTCTGACACAGCTCGCATTGTTTTACACTTCTTCCTCTTTTTGTTTTTTTTTTGGTTTGTTTGTTAATTATACAGCTGGCGGGCAATTAGTGCTGGCCACGCCCACAGCGACGCTCAAGTCACAGTCGCAGTCGCAGTCGCAGTCGCATTTATATTGATTTAACAAGAAGCAGGCGCATGAAATTGGAACGCGTCGCTGTTTACGTAGGCAAAACAAATGCGAATGCGCACATTTGCATCATTCATGACGTTGGCAACCCTGCAGTGCACAACCCTTTAAGTGGAGCATCGAGTGGGTGGTGGGCTGCTGGGGTCACTTGGCGGCACTACATGCAGGTAAATCTGTTGCTGTTGACATTTTTTGGCCCTGAGCCCTTTTCACACTGCCTGCAAACAGTGAGTGCACACTCGTGTTGAGGGTACAGTGCCTGTTAAGGTAAGAGTGCTTAAATTATGCCACTTTTTCTATGTACATTAACTAATTTCGGAGAGCTTTTAGCGATAGCAGCCTAATGTATGGCTTAGAAACTAAAAGAGCTTGAGTTCAGTTACGAAAGAAACGAATTTATTTGGGTATGGGAACTTGAGATTTAAAAACTTAGAAGTTATCGATATTTGGATTTATCGATCAAGCTAACCAAATAAATCCAAATTAAGAAAAGATATCGATTATTAGATTACATCTCATGTGTATCTTGTTTAACACAAAAGTTATCGATCAAGAGATATCGTTAACTGCAATTATCACTATAGTAAATAAAAGTTTCAATAGCTATTGATCCTCTATCGAGCATCTATCGACTTAGTTTGATAAAGTATGAAGAAAAGATATCCATAGCTGCATCAATCGAACTAGTAAATGAAACTATGAAAAGATGTCAGTATTTCCAGGCATATCCTGGCATTCTTACTCAAAAGTTATCGTTAAGCCAAATTAAAGTAAGCCAAGAGCTATCGAGCTACTGTGCACACATGTTTAGATATAGCTGTTGCCTAAGTATTCAAAGCTTCATCTAAATGAATTTCCTTAATGATGTTCAGGTCTGTAGAGCTAAAAATAATACCAAAACTGTTTCATTTCTTTAACAGCTCACAAAACGATATAGCTCTACATGTAATATGAAGTAAGAGTTCATTGCAAGCAACGTCGAGCTGAGCATTTCAGCTGCTGCTCAAAACCCCCTCAGCTCAGCTTATAGTTTTTTCAGAGCACCGCAAATTCTGGCATTCGGCTATTAAAGCCACTATTTGTCTGCCAACATTTTGATTGATTTATGATGAGCCAGCGAGAGATTTGAGAGATTTCTGACTCTTGCTGACTGCTTCTGACTCTTTGACCACCCTGTCTGCCTGCGTTGGCGTCATCCACAAAAAGAAAAGCCAAAAAATCATCAGCTGAACATTCACTTTTATACGCTCGACTCTTTCACTCAACTATAGCTATGTTTTGCAGCTGTATGTGTGGCTGTAGCTGTATCTGTATCTGTATCTGTATGCATAACTCGGTATGTATCTGACTTTTTGCATATTCGCGTTGGCTGCTTTAGTTTGATTTTTTCGGCTCTGCACAATGTGGGTCAACGCACGTCCGGCTCCTCGCAGCTGACAAAATAAAAAATAAAAAAAAAACAAAAACTTGCACATCGTTTATCTTATGCATTTGCAACTGTCGCCTGCTGTGTGCCTGTCAAACTGTAAGCTGCCAGCGACAATTGCCGCAAATTGCAAATGCACTTATTTATTTTGCGCTGTATTTTTAGCAAACGATTGCTTACAAGTGCAGAGCTCCCCCATGGCCCCTCTTTATGCCCCTGGGGCGCCATTGCGACTTATTGGCTGCATTATGATTGCAACGGATCGACGGCACCGGAGAAGCCAGACACAGATTTACGTATATATACAGTATATATATATATACAAGGCACTCGATCCCTGCAGCAGCCAGACATTTGTTGACTTATTTATGACTGCTTAATGCCTTTTTGGTTGTCTGTGAAAAACTATTTTATGGCACAGATTTGATTGGCTTTGTTGCTGACTCATTGAAAATTTGAGAGAGCGAAAGGAGCGGGAGTATGAACTATATATCCTAATCAAGATCTAGAGCAAATAAGCTGCTCTAAGAGTCTCAAAGACCATGAAATATTCAACAAATTAGTAAAGTGTGAAATATTTATGAAACCATTTGGCCAACTGTGAAAAAGAGCGCAGAAAACCGAGCTAAAATTGTTTCTAAATTTAGTTTGTAAAAAAATTAAATGAAAATTGAATAAACTCTTGTAAATACAGCAATAAATTAACAGCGCATAAAATTATTAAACAACAATAAAAATTGCTAACAAAAAACTGAAACACGCAATGCAAAGTAACAGTGGCTGCAATCAGTCAATGCACGCAGTCAGAGAGGGAGAGAGAGATGAGACAGAGATGAATTGATGAAGATTGGCATGTTGCATGCCGCATGCTGTTGCATGTGCCACAGCAATTAATAAAAGGCAAACAAAAAGCCTAGACGAGACTTTTTGACAGCTACTGTGATAACTGCCACAGGCCGCACAGACAAAGTGAAATGCAAACAAAATGAAAAATAAAACCAAAACAAAACAACTCAAATCAAAGTTAAGCAACGAGCAAAAGCGTCCGAAAAAATTGTTTAGTTCAGCAGAAGCAAAGCCAACTGCAAATAGATAAAGCTATATCTATATCCATATCTTATATATATATATATTTACTATGCAATGCAGTTAACACTTTCAACACACAACAAACAGTTCAGCATGATTCACGCTTCTTTTCGTGGCTTTGGGTGCGTTACAGTTTGGCAGTCACTGTCGCAACTTTCTTTTTACGAAATTTTTATGAAGAAATTTAAGAGAAGCAGCCAAAAAACAAGCGAAAAAAAACACTAACAACAACAGTTCACAGCAGCGTCTCGCTGATGAGCTATGGGCGTGGCAGGCGTGGGCGTGTTAACTACATATTTTCATAGGCTTTGCTTAAGGGCTTCCCTCGAGCTTTGTTTTGATTTTTTTCTTTATAGTTTTTTTTGGTGTCTGTGGCTAATGAATTTTTTAACACAACATTGCGAGCATTTCATTTAGAAAATCTACGAATTGACTTTCTTTCCCAGCCTGACAGAAAAAAAAAAACTAAACAAAAAACCGAAAAAACCGGAACCTCTGGCGGCTGTAGCTTAAGCGTTTGTTGCTTTGTATCTACAGCTGGTTTCTTGTCTATATCTTATTATCTTCTATTTTTTATATTTTACACACACGCGACGGCTTCGATTGTTGGCGATTTGAACCTTGGCTCTCTGGCTTGAATTGTTGTAGTCGTTTTCGAAAAGAATCGAAAACGAAAATTCGGCAAAAGCATTCAATTAGCAACAGAAACAGAAACAGCAACGAAAAAAACACTGATTTGATTATTAATTGAACTACAGTCAAGGCTGTTTTTCTTTTTTGTTATTCAAATTGTTGTAGATCTGCAGAGTAATGTATTTACATATATAAATGAGGTCAAGTAAGCGATCATGATGTGGATATTATGGCAGTAAATCAAATTGACAAGTGTTAAAAGCAGATTCATATCGTGAGTGCGCAGAAGAAGAAGAAGCAATGCCAAATCGACAGATTATCAAAGTCAAAGCAGAAGTAAGGGAATTCAATCAAATTTATTGATAAATGAGCTGTAAAAAGAGTTTTGAATTGAATGAAAAATGAATTTGAATTAGTTTTTTATGTATAAATTATATTTATATTAAAGTTCTTTACTTCTCGGAGCTCGTTTCTTTAAGTAAAAACAATTCAAAGTCTGTTCAAGTATTATAAATGTCAAAGACTTGAATTGTTTAACAATTTTGTGCTTAGGAACTACTCAGAAAAATGTGGCAATAAATTGCAGTTGTTCCAAGAGTAAAACTTGAGTACGGCAATACCATTTAAATGGAATACGAGACTGTGAAATTACACAATAAGAAAATTACTAAACACAGACTTGATTCTTAGAAATGAGCTGAAGACCAAAAAAGTCAATTATTTCTTTATTTATTGGGTGTGACTATAGTTTAAGACTAACATATGAAATAAATAAACAAATTAATAAGATATGTTTACAAGTTCTATTGAGTATTCTGGAAAGCGGGCGCAGATTCTTGTTGTTCAGTGAAATCAATTTGGCAAGCTTTAGCTCATCCTATATACACATAGGCATCATCATATTATGTCATCATCATCATCTTGTCATCATAATATAATTATATAAATTATATACATGATTATATGATTACATAAATAATATATATGATGAAGATGTGCTCATGGTATACATATAATAATAAAATATATGAAATTATATTTCGAAAAATGTTGCAAGCTTTACAGACCTGATGACAGCTATATTTTGATTATTATTAATCAACAAATTAACAAGGTTTAAAGTATTGGATTCTCCTGGTTCTAGCCACATTAAACATTACTATAGACTGCTGCTTTGCCTTTGCCCTGCTAATCTTGAACCATTTACGCATTGAATGGTTGCAGCTTTTGCCAGCGCAGACTTTTCTGTTTACCCAAATATAATATAAATATTATAGATAAATTATGAATATTTTTTCATTCACTCTTGAGCTTTAAGAACTATATTTAAATTAATTTTATAAGTTATGAGAGCGTCTATTCAACTAGAATGCTCTGCAGAACCCAACCATTTAGCTGTTTAGTAATTCAATATGTTCTCAAAGGTAATATTATTATGTCATATATGGCAGGCATTGTTCTCTATGTATAAAAGAAAGCAAAATAAAGAAACTGTTATACAATATAACAAAGGGAAATATAGATTGCAGATAAATCACATATTAAAAGCGAACGAGCTTAGTTGCACGCTTGAAATAGTGCAAGATTATAACAGTAGTATAACAAAAGTGTTATATAAAGATATAATAATAGTGTACAGTGCACGATTATAACACATGTATAACAGAAGTGTAATATATATAATAAGAGCACACATTACTACTACGACGAATCCAGCCAACTAATGTGGCTGGGCAGGTGCATAAGCGCTCACCTTTTCGCATGCATGAAATAACGCATGCCATTAGAACTGGCTTCAGAAAGGCCGCTCGTTTGTGACTTTGCAGCAGCCTTGGCTTAGTTGTAAGTTAGCTTTGGCTTGCATTTTTTGATGACTTGGCTAAAACTTTCAATGGAACAGCACTGAGCAGGTGGGTATGGAGGGTATGGTGGGTTCTTAGACGTCTAAGGTTTCTATGGCAGCCAGAGCCCCCCGCCCCACGCCCCTGTTGGCTGATCTGTTTACACAAAGCCTAAGCTTCGACTGCATTTAAGAGCCAACTGCTAAGAGCTCGGCTTACAGTAAGCCACCAGCTAGAATTTGGTTTTCTTTGGTGGGAGAAACCAGTTAACGACTCAACTTTCAGTTTTTCAGCCAGCTAGGAAAAATGACAAGCGGAAAACATTGTTTACATGCGAGCGATTACGAGACGCAAATGGCGAATGGCAAAAGGCAAATTGCGGCTTGAAATGATTCGCAGAATAAAAACGAAAAGAGCGAGTGAATAAATTATTTATTGAGAGGCGTGGCAGATTTCAAGGCGCATTTGATTAGCATATAATCAATCGAGGCTTATCCACCTGCCTGAGAACTCTTTTAGCCATATATTTTTTTTCATCTGTTTCTTTTGCCTGGCTTTTTTATGGTTTCATTGACTGATCGCTGATTAGCTTGGCGAGTTGAGAGTTCTTTTCTTTTCTTTGAACCTGATTGATAAATTATGTGGCTCGGCTGCTTAAATTGTGGCTGCATTGCATTGTATTCTGGAACTTAACTGCTTTAGTGCCGTTGCTAACTGTTGTTAGATGTACTTTGTTTTGCTTCTCACCTATCGACGCTTCGATGGCCTTACGCTTAATTTATGCCAGACAACAGAGCAACAACAACAGCTATAGACACGGCTATAAACCCCATGGCCTTGTAATAGTTCTAGGCACCAATAAGTTGGCCGAAACTCTGCTGGCAACTCTGTTTTAATGCCCTTTGGTTAACACCATTGGGCTGAACGGATGGCTTGAGCTGTGAAAAAAAGTAGTTAATTGGCAAAAGTTGTCATGGAAGTAGGTTAATATAAACCAGATAGCTGAGACGTTTGGGCTATATAATTAAATTGCTATACCAAATTATCAGATATGAATGATATTAAGTTAACAGTTAGCTTAGCTTAGTTAGAAATTCTTCAATTTGAATTTATATCTATGACATACTCAAGATCTATTTCTAAACTCAAGTTCAATCTAAAACTAATGAAAGACTTCAAAAAGAAATCAATTTCGCTTTTCAACAACTTAAAGGGTATTCAATGCTTCAACACTTGCATTTAGTTGTCGAATTTGGTTTTTTTGTTGGCCAAAAAAAAACAGTAACAGAAAAAAGTTGCCTGGCATGTTGCACTCTCTCTGTGGCACGCCGGAAAAGCATTGTTTATTGTTATTTGTTGGCTCGCTCAGCAGTTTGCTGCCAACTTTCGCTGGCATGAGAAAAGTTGTGTGTGAAAAGCGCCTGTCTATGTAAATGCTATATCCGTGTGTCTTGGTCTATCTCCCTCACTCTGTCTGCCTGTGTGCGTTGGCATTTGCTATAACAAGGCTATAGAAATTAGCTCTGACATAGATATACAAGTTACAAATCGAAGCGTTTGAGCATGACAATCAATTCAAGTGCAAATGCTTAATGCTTAAGCCGAATGGCTACGAAATTGCCCCCTCCTTCTCCAATCAAGCCGTGCACATGCCACGCGACCCTCCGCCTCCCACCATTCCTCGTCCGTCGAAGGCTGACAAGTGAGCGGATCATTGGCGGAGTGGCCCAACTTGTTTGCTGATGTGCAAAATGATGATAACTTTGACATATTCAACGCGAAACGAGAGCGTATCAAATGAGCTGGCGAAACGAGTTTGAGTCAAAAAAAAATGAGACAATAAAATAATAAATATGCAAAAACAATGCAAAAGGTAACCTGGCATAAAGCTAAACAGCTCAGTGCATCCCAAACTGGGTTAAGCCATTATCAAAAGACAACGAGAATTACGAGCTGAGACCCTGAGTTTATTTTTGTAAGCTGCTTATGCAGATCAGCAGCTCAGTGTGACCATATTGGTGTCCATAAAAAATGTGACCAAATATGTTTCATTTAAATGCAGAATTGCAAAATGCGAAGAGGTTATATAAAAATGGGAATCTATAGCAAAAGTTGACAAATTTTGT